AGAATCGCTGATATGACGCAAAAAGACCGGCACGAGCAGTGTACTGTCTAGCAGAAGTTTAACTACTTGCTCTGCCACTTTTTCTGTCTATGATGGAGGACGGTGGAAAAGAGAGTAGCGGGAAGTAGTTACGACAATTTTATTGGGTGGTTTGGATAAGTTATTCATATGAGTTATTTGCACTCAAATAATTCATTTTGAGTTATTTGGGTGCAAATAACTCATTTGTCTATAGAGGTTGGTGATGAGTTATTTGTATTTGAGTTAATTTGAAATAACTCATTAATGAGTTATTGTCAATACTTCATAGGGGTAGTTATTGTGAAATAACTCACAAATACCACGTTCTCATTTTGTGAGGAATTCCACTTTTATATTAACTCTTTACATAACTCATCCAAATTTGTTCTATCTCATTTGTGTGGATTGTTTTGGGTGGGTATAGGTTCTGTAGACAGAGTGAGATAGGTATGGGTACTTTTTTCGACTTGCCTTATTATACCTCATATTTTCACAGTAATTTAACCACATTTATCATAATATAGTTTGTTTTTATTTTATTGTAATGGAACCATGAATATTTCTAATCTTTTTATTTTAAATCAAGGTTTAGAAAACCAGAGGTTATACCCATAGATCGACAAGCTCCAACATGCATTGCATTTCATAATAAATAAATGCCTCGCCTCGGGGTTTCACGCCTAATTAGATACTGGAACACGTCATGGAGTAAGGCGACATATAAGTCTCTCCTAAACATTACTAGATGGAGCTAGTAAGTCAATATTAAAGGCCAAAATTAACATCAACTACGAAATTAATTTTCTATTGCAATTTTCTAAACATTTCATATATTGAGCTATGATCCTATGAATTAGTGACCTATGTTCTTATCATTAAGTGTTGAGTAAGTTATTAATCATTTTAACTGAAGTGAGAAAGTGTTGTAGATAATTATTTCATTCATCATGTAGTGCGAATAACTATTTTTCTTCCAACGCCTAGGCACGCTTAGTCTATGCCTAGACGAGCTAGGCGCAAGACAAAGACTCAACGCCCGCCTTACGCCTAGCGCCTTTTTGAACCTTTATAAATTACACAACCTTTCAAAATAGATATGGATATTGAAATACCCGCCCGTCACACACCAGCAGTGGCGGATCCGGGGGCTGGCCACCCCAGGCCAGGACCCAGTCCTCCTCTAGATCCGGAGCTAGTATAGCCCATATGAGTTTATCGATTTAGCCATTTAACCCAGTGTTATTTTATAATAAGATTGTGTGTAATTAGGAAAATGAGTCAGATGAACATATTCAAATCACAACTCTAAATTTAGCTTGAAAATTCTAGCTCCAATGATTCTCGTCTAAAGAAAAACAAACAATGAAACCTAAAATTCTAAAAGTCTAAAACGTAAAAGACTAAAAGAAATATATATTAATTTGTCGATTGATTTGTCTAGTGTTGACTTGCTCGTTTCAACAACTACTATGGAGAGAACCTTTTCAACAATAAAATAGGTGAAAATTTATCTGCACAACCAAATGAGCGATGAATTTCTCATCAATTGGTTAACTATTTTAGCTTAAAGAGAGTATGATATTGGTAAGGATGTAGACTTCATTATTGATGAATTTACTATATTCAAATTTAAATGATCGACGTCTAAAATTAATATTGTGAAAAATTATAATATTTTACGGTATTTAATTTTCTAATGAAATGCGACCCAATACTCTACTGTATACTTATCTGCCGCTGTCCACCAGCACATGTCGAAACGATCGTGGAGTTACTACCGGCCGAAAGCTACAGTTACGCCAAAATATTTAATGAAGCCAACTCCCACGGCAGTTGGGAGCAGCCCACCTCCCAATTTAACACCAAACATCGGAACCGAGGAATCAAACGCATTTAATTAACCATCCCATATATCTACGGATTGCATCTAGCCCACCACCAAATTCACCCAAAACAGAAACTGCCCTTCATTGGTTTTTCTTAGATAGTGGAAATAATAGAGCACTCCTAGTACACCTCATAAATACGGTGCCAAATTCACGAAACTATGAGATTCGAAATTACAACTTCTTTAATGAATAACAAAGTTATTTCATTATGGGTCCGAATATGGTGCCCACTTTATAGGGATAAGTTAGCATGTTAACCCTTTTAAGGGGTTGGAAAAATGATACCCTTATTAATTATAGTTATTTTTGTATTAAATTCGTGTTGCATTTAATAATCTTTGGAAATTAGAATCTCATCTTAATTACATTTTTTTTTACTATCATTGCACTGATACAACTACCATTGTACCTGTATATTGAACTCGTATTAATTACGTTCCTTTTTTGGGGACTACCATTGCACTGATACAATTATCAGTGCACTAAAAAAGGAAAGTAATTAATATGTGTTTTTAATTCATACAGATTATCAAATGCAACACAAATTAATTACTTTAAAAACCTATAATTAATAGGGGTGTCATTTTTCCAACTCTTTTAGAGGTAGACATGCTATCTCATCCCCACTTTATAGTCTGAGTCATCGTGACCACCAAGAAGAGATCATGTACTTATTAGGTTTGAACAATAAATCTCTATTAATTATGTTTTTGGATAATTAAAATTAATTAAATGTTAATGTATTTTATCTAAAAATTTTAATTATTTTTTCCATCATATTTAATATTTAATATACATATATAATTCTTTGTTAGTGATTTATTGTTATATTTTCTACTTACAGTACACCTGTAATTGCTAACATGTTTGTTTAAGTTATGAAGAAAATTTATTACCCATTAATACTCGAAAAGAGATCAAGTATTTTCATGGTTTTGATTTTCTATGAGTTTCTTGTGTGGCCATGGATAATAATTTGGATACAATAACAAATATGCACTATACATCTCTGACACGATCTATTGTTAGAGGTGGAACTACGTAATCCCCCGACCCACTAGAATTTTGAAAAGTCGATAATTTTTTGAATTACGAATAAACAGAAGGACATACTAGGTGGGGGTAATAAGTTACTTAAACTATGTTGTGGTTTAGAGGACAACATCCCCTCTTCATTCTGCTGGATGCTAGTTCGATATCTACGAAAGGTTTTCCACCCTTTCCGGTTGTTTACACTAAAATGCTTCTTTAATCATTGCTTTTTAATTTCTGCTTCTTAAGAGTTAAATCAAATTTCTGCTTCTTAAAAGTTAAATCTTTTGATTCTAAATTAAATCAATTAAGGTTTCCGGCTTATAAATTCACATTTTAAAGGTTAATACTAGACATGTAATAGCTAAATTAATCACTTTCATATTAAGGATAATATTAGACATGTAATGGCTAATTCCTCACTTATCAATAAAAACTAATATAGATGAAAAATATTATTTGAGTTGCTAAATTTTTTTTAGTGATTTAACTATTTAAGTCAAGTGTTGAGGAGCATGTAATGTAATATTGTAAAATCTAATCACAGATCCTTTCCTAACAACTTGCATTATTGTGACTAATTGAAGTGCTTCTTTAATCATTGCTTTTTAATTTCTCCTTCTTTAAGTCTTTTGATTCTAAATTAAATCAGTTAAGTTTTCCCGCTTATAAATTTACATTTTAAGGATTAATACTAGACATCTAATACCTAAATTAATCACTTTCATATTAAGGATAATATTAGATATGTAATGGCTAATTCCTCACTTATCAATAAAAACTAATATAGATGAAAAATATTAGTTGAGTTGCTAAAATTTCTTTAGTAATTTAACTATTTAAGTCAAGCATTGAGAGCATATAAGGTAATAGTGTAAAATCTATTCATAATCCTTTCCTAACAACTTGTATTATTGTGACCAACTGATTATTCACCATGTATCTACCTCAATGTGATTTTGATAATTTGATGTCCAAATCCAAATCCAACTATAAGGTTTCACTTGGAATTCACTGAAATTAAGAAAGGGTCTTGTTTTCCACGTAGATGTTAATCTTTAAATATATCAATTAAGTTTTGAACGTGTAAATCCATTTTTAGGATAATCTTAGATACATAATGACTAAGTTAATATTTTAGAAAATACTGATACCAACAAACATTTGTTTTCGGTTATAGAAGTGATAAAGAACATGTAGACTCTAAATTACATGATTTTTTCTTCGTAATTTATTAATTTATATTTAACAAATATTATAATAAAAAAATTTGTTTGGATCATACTTTTGAGTGATAGTATATCTAAACAATCTTCACTGACAGTAATAATAATGATATATTAATTTTATTTATATTATATTTAGTAAGGTTTCATAATACACCGAGTCCCGATAGACAAAATTCCTGGCTCTGCCCTTGTCCGTGGTCAACCCTATATGCCTCTCTTTCTCCGGTCAACGAGGAGGGAGAGTGAGAGAACGGTCGAAGTTCAAGGTCAACAAAGAGGGATAGGAGGAAGGAGAATACTAGACCGGAAGATGGAGCGGAAGAGGGGGAGAGAGTGAGAGATCAACATATATGATCTCCTGGACCTCTTTTGAAACTAATCCTAATGACCGTTGGTGGGATTTTAGATGAACGGTGAATGAACTGGTGGTCACGATACCAATCTTTATGGAAAAAGACATTATATTCTACACCTTATTAACGTAACACCTATAAACAAATTAAAAAAATAATAATACAACTCGTAAGAAACTTACCCTCTGCTTCTGATCACTAACCTCAAAAATTTTATTTTTCTCTGTTACCACTCAATTTTCTAACTCCACCTTTATCATGGTATATAGAAATTGAACCAAAAAGCAAAGTGAATCAACTCATGTTGCTATTAGTTGTCTCACCAGACATTTTTTTACAACTACCACCTTTATCAATTAATGACTGCAAAATCCTGCCCTTTATAAAATCCTACACACCCTCCTCCTAAAACCCAACCAAAAAAAAAAAAAAAGAGAGACACATAGGCTCTGCTTCATTCAAAGTTCAAACCAACAATGGAAGGGCGCGCAGAATGCGGCGGCGGCAGAGCATTGGGCGGGACGGAGCAGAGCTGGTCTCGAGCTGTTCCCGGCGGCACAGGCACCGCCGTTCTAGCAATCCTCACCACCAATCCCCCCGATTCCGCCTCCCTCAACGCCGCCCTCCACAAACTCCAAACCTCCCATCCCATTCTCCGGTCAAGACTCCACCACCACAATAACTCCACTCGTACCCCCTCCGCCGCCGTCTCCATCGTCCCCGCCGCCGTGCCTTTCGTCAGGGTGAAACAGTTCAACCTCTCGTCAACCCTCAACATCCTCACCGCCGCTGACTCCTCCTCGCCGCCGCTGCAGTTGATTTTGGAGCACGAGCTGAACAACAACCAATGGGCTTCTTCCACCGCGACTGCCACTGCCAAGCCGGAGAACAATAATATCGAGGACTTGTTTTTCACGACGACCTACGCGCTGCCCAAGGACAAGTGGGCGGTGGTCCTGAGGCTCCACGTGGCGGCCTGCGACCGCACCACGGCCGTGTCTCTGCTGAACGAGCTGCTGGCGCTGCTGGTGGCCGCAGGGGAAGAGGAGGAGAAGTACTGGCCGACGGGAGAAGAAGGGAAGGAAGTTGGCGGGGCCATCGAGGAGCTGATCCCCAAGGGGAAAGCGAAGAAATCCGTGTGGGCGCGTGGGGTCGACATGGTTGGCTACTCGGTTGGTTCGTTCAGGCTGACCAATTTGAGGTTCGTCGATGCCAGGTCGGATCGGCGGTCGCAGGTGGTCAGGTTCCAGCTGGATCGCGACCAAACCGAGAAGCTGCTCGCTGTGAGTATTAATTAATTACTACTTACAGACTTACATTGCTGGTTGATTAATTAGAAATTGGATTAATACGCGGGATGAATCTTATATCATTCTCTTATACGATTTTAAAGGGATGTGAGAGGGTCGGGATAAAGCTGTGCGGGGTGTTGACGGCGGCGGGGATGATAGCTGCGCAGTATAGCTTGAGGAAGAAGAATCTTAGTAGTAATCGTCGTGGTGGTAGTGGGGTTGAGAAACAGAGGAAATATGGAGTTGTGACGTTGACGGACTGCAGGTCGATTCTCAGCCCGTCTCTTTCGCCGCACCATTTTGGTAATTGATCTTTGTCTTGCTCTGTCGATTTCTTAGCGCTCTGTTTTTTTGGTTTTTACCGTCTATAACTCCTTTTACATTGCAGCACCGACTATTTACTGTGCATGCTGTCCAAATAAAGGAACTTGTTACCTGTTTTCTGAAAAGTGGAAAAACAGAGTAACTCTCTACCATTGACTTTTAGCTTGGAACCGAGTAGACTCTCCTCTCTAGCTTGGAGAAAAACAGAGTAGGGCCTAGTGTGTTTTTCTATGTAGGGACTAAAAAGTTTGTTGCCAGGAATGTTAGGGGATTTAGGGCGTGGATTTGTTGAATTCGTATATTTTGGAGAAAGTTATGTTTTTTTGTTTCTTTTTGTATTGTGAATTTTAATTTTAGAGATTTCAAATCTCTAAAATCTATACATATCAAATCTCTCATAATCAGAGAGATTTTATATTTAGCTTCATGAGATTTTTTTTTCTCCCATCTTTTCACTTTCTTTCATTTATTTATCATATTAAATATATTTACTAACAAAGTTTTAATATTTTTCGAACGACTCTAATTTATTATTAAGGATAAACATGTTATTTAATATAAAATTTTTATTTTTATTTTCATTGAATGTTAACAATCACAGTTACCAAACAATAAACATTTTAAAATCTATTTTCAACAATCCAAAGAGTTAGAATCTTTAGAATAGTTTAACTATATCTATTATGTCAAGAAAATTATATTTAATTATTTCTCCTTCAAAATACATACTTGTATTAGTCTACTTGTCCGCTTCGTACACCAATACAAAATATCCGACTTGAATCATACTATCACAATTCACAAGGCCGATATAGATACAAAGATACCCGCCCCTGCTTGCCTCATTGCCTATTTATTGGGAGCAAACTATTATTAGGAAATAAAACTCTCTTACGAATGATTCTGCTTTCCTTAATTATCGTCCATTTTACACTTTGTTTTGTGCTTGTTGACCGTAAATAATTATTATTTTATACCCATGTTCTAAGGTATCTATGACAAAAAAAAACTATTACTAAACCCAGCCTGCAAGGTCCAAGATAGGGTCAGTAACCACTGGTTACTGACCCATCAGTAACCACACGGGAGCCGTAGGATTGGGAATGGAGCAATCGTGTGGCTGAGCTGGATGTGGGGTGGGGAGGCGCATTTTTGTCCGTTTTTGTATTTTTTAAATTTTTTTTATTCATTCCGCATTTCAATGGCTGACTTTTCAATGAAAGAGAGAATGCATTTTCTCTGCAACTCAACTTTCTTCCTTCTCTCTTCTTATCTTTCAATCTCTTTCCAGATCTTTTCTCTTTCTCTATTCTTTCTCTCTTACTTTTTCTTTCACAATCTCCTTTTCAAATTTAGATCTGCTCTCTTCCTCCTTCATTTTTTTTCTCTAGCAATCGACGAATAAAAATTTTAGCCACTCTCTTTCTTTGCATTTCTTCTCTTCATCAACTCGTTGGCCTCAATTCTGATCTTTCTCATTTTTTGGGCATTTTGGTGTTCTTGATTGAGGAAGAGGAAATGAGAGGCATCAGAAGACGATTTTTTCTCTCCCTCCTTCTGTTTTTTTTCCTTTTAGATAATATATATTGATATTATGACTCTATACCATATGGTATTGGGTGGTAACGAAATATATATTGATATTACCACACTATACCCTATGGTAATGTATGGTATTGCGTGGTAACGAAATATATATTGATATTACCACTCTATACCATATGGTATTGTGTGATATTACCATACTATACCATATGATATTGTGTGGTAACGAAATATATATTGATATTACCACACTATACCATATGGTATTGGGTGGTAACGAAATATATATTGATATTACCACACTATACCATATGGTATTTGGTGGTAATGAAATATATATTGATATTACCACACTATACCCTATGGTAATGTATGGTATTGCGTGGTAACGAAATATATATTGATATTACCACTCTATACCATATGGTATTGTGTGATATTACCACACTATACCATATGGTATTGGGTGGTAACGATATATATATTGATATTACCACACTATACCATATGGTATTGGGTGGTAACGACATATATATTGATATTACCACACTATACCATATGGTATAGACTGGTAATAACTGGAAAAAAAATTTGTGTCAAAAAAATATTAAAGTGGATATCATTTTGAAGAGCATAATTAATCTGATCTAACTGTGCAAAAAAAAAAAAAATTTCGACTTAAAACGAGTGAGAAATCGTCCGTTAAAGATTAAGAGAAGGAAAATTAAAGGTTTTTCGATGAGAGAGAAGGAGGTCCTGATGTGGTCGGTCAAAAGTCAGCGCGTCAGCGCGTCAGCAATAAATAGGGAATAAGTGCATTTTACCTTACTGCCCTTCCGCATTTAATTTAAATAAAAAAGTAGACTGACACGTGGAGATCAGAGAATGGGTTACTGATGGGTTACTGACCCATCAGTTACTGACACGATCCGCTCCCAGCATGCATCGTAACCCATGTGATACAAAAATGGTAAAATTTACAATGACAACTATACATTAATAAAAGTGGCAATAACTTTTTTGTCATATACAATAACGTTTTAGTATGACATTTTCAAGACTTCAAGACACTATAGTACAAGATTATTCTACTACTTCATTGCAATTAAGTTATGAATGTATGTTAAATTATTTTTTTCATAGATGTGATTTGATTGTTTGTGAGAAACCTTTTCTAACCCTTAATCAAATTCCGCAGGATTCTATCACTCTGCCATCATGAACACCCACGTCCTGAAACCCACACCGTCACCGGTAGGAGGCAACTCGGCCGAAACGACGACGTACCATCTCTGGGAAGAGGCGCAGAAGGCGTACAAGGCATTCCGGAGCTACAAGGAAAGCGACAGGCAGTTCACTGACATGGCGGACATCAACTTCCTGATGACCACCGCCCTCGACAACCCTTCCCTCACTCCTTCCTCCGCCCTCAGGACGTCCCTCCTGTCCGTCTTCGAGGACACCATCGTTGACGACAACTCCGGCGGCGCCGCCGCCAGGGACGCGGTGGGGGTGGAGGATTACATGGGCTGCGCCTCTGTTCACGGCATTGGGCCTTCCCTCGCCGTGTTCGACACGATCCGGGAGGGGAAGCTGGACTGCGTCTGTGTTTACCCTTCGCCGCTGCATTCCAGGGAGCAGATGGTGGAGTTTGTGGACAAGATGAAGAGCGTTCTTGTGAGTTGTTGAGAGAGAAAGAGAGGGTTTGGATCAGGTGGGTGAGTTCGGGCTGGGTTTTTCCGGGTAATTTTGGATCCCCGGTTGTTGCTCTTGTTATGTGTAGTAGAATAACTGAATAAGTGCCGCCTAGGCAACGCCGCGCCGGCGAGAACATTGGTTGCAAGGGAGAGGTTGGTTTTTATATTAACTAGTTTATAAACTAAGCCAGATCGTTGGCCGGAATGTTTGTATTTGATTTTCTACATTTTATATTTTTATGTTATGTTTAATTTTATCAACTCATTTAATTTTATTGACAATCTTTCAATGTTCGATCGATACATAAAAATGAATGTGTATGTTGAATATTTGAAGAAATACCATCATTATTTAAGATTACAAAATATAAAAATGTATTCATAATCCCATTTCATAATGATAATTAATCACCCGTTAAAATGCTATTGGTTAATTGATTGTCGGGAGAGATAGAGTATAAAAACCCATAGGAATTCCCACACAACCCATATATAATTGGAAACTAAAACTAATAAAATCTCATAATCCGACATAAAGGGTTCAATACTATACTTTTAGCAACATGACACTAATTAAAAATAAATGGAGAGTTGTTGATTCAAGTCGACCATATACTAACAACTCGACCAAAATTGGACAAAATTATGATTACCTCCAATATAGTAATAGACTCGATCAAAGTAATATGACACAAAATTAGACACTGCTTATCTACCAGTTCCAGTAGTTTGAATAGAGAATCGACCTTAATTTTAATAAATCGATCAACGATTCCTCATTTTGAGATAGACATAGGTTGTGGTAGCTGCAACAGCCATAAATCTAAAGACCAATAGCCACTATTATCCGTTGTACAACCAACTTTTTATCCCCTCTATCTCCAATCTTAAGAGGCATTTCTTTCAACCCAAAAATCACTTTGTAATCCTTCTCCTGCAATTCTATTTATGCTACTTTGATGGACTTCTCTTTGTAGCCCTCAATTTGTCTTCCAATTAGGGTTCTTGTCAACTCGCTCTTTAACTCTTCAATCATTTTCTTGTATTTGACCAACTCATATTCCTTAGGGGCAGTTATAATAAGATTGGTAAAACCAACCCTCTTTTCAAATTTCATCAATATGCTCATATCCTCCTTGACTGCCTTCACCTGCTCCAGTTCACTTCCATGTCCTTCAATACCCTCTCCAGTTCACTCTAGAATGGGACAAGGAGTAGGCCGCCTGACATAAAGTGTCGGTGGCAGGAAGAGAAGATCTTCCTAGGATATTCACCTCGAACACTGCAGTACTGAGCATTAATTGCCCGCCATAGGCGGTCTAGATAAAGCAGGGTGCGTCTAGGGGGCCTGACATGGCATTTAATGCCCCAAACCCAACCTAACTTACTTTAAATACCTTCATATCTGCATTGATGGTAGCTCAACTACTTCCTCTCTCTCTCTCTCTCTCTAAACATAAACATAAATTCTCTCTTCTCTCTCTAACATAAGCATTGGAGAGTGTCTTGGGTGACCGCCTACGGACCCTTGTTTTGCAGGGATCAGGAGTGCAACCACCCTCTGGAACAGGCGCTTTGCTAGTTCTTCATTAAACCGCCTAGAACATTCTAGGCTCAAACAATTTGGCGTCCATCGTGTGGCGAGCAAAGCACTGAAGAAAAGATGGATGGGAGCTCCAAGACCCCCGTCAAAGGTGTGGTAGAAAAAAGCGACCTCCGTGGCCAATAAATGCAAAGAAACGACATCCGCGGACTAGAAATGCCAACGGTGGAAGAAGAAATGGAAAGGGAGGACCGCGTCAAAACTCAGGGGCAACAAATAGCAAGCATGCAGGAAACTTTGAGCCAAAACTTGGCCATGCTCAAGGAGAAGGGAAGCGAAGCGCCGGAGAACTCAGGAAGACAAGCAACGAAGGGAAAAGGAAGGGAAGAGGATCCTGACAGCCCTGCTCAGACAGAAAGCGGGGAGTCCGACAATGAAGAGGGCGCAGAAGAATTCAGCTTGGGCTTCCTGGAGGAACACCTCAAACCCTCATATGGAAAGATAAAGGGTCACAACATTTTCCAGAACCCACTAGCCAAGAGCTTATTTAAAACTCAAGTTCCCCTAAACTTCTCATCTTTGGGACTGCTGACTTACAACGGAAGTTCTGATCCCGCCGACCACTTGAGCGCCTTAATGCTGACCATGCAGCTAATCAACGCCACAAACGCTGATCTGTGTAAGGCGTTCCCTGTCACGTTTAGTGGCCACTTCCAAACTTGGTACACTTCTCTGCCCGAGGGGATAATTGAAAACTTCAAGCAGTTCGCCACCCTCTTCTCCTCAAAGTTTGCGTCTCAGTGAAGAAGGAAGCTGACCTTGTCAACGCTCATCAAGAAAGAACATGCCCTGAAGGAGTGGCCAGATTTGGACCGCCTAGTGAGGAAAGTGATCCTGCTAGAAGAGGCCATGATCATAGAAGATGCCGCCAAGCGTGTCAACGCAAGAGTGGAGAAGGACGATAAGAAAATGGGAGGATCACCAAAGAGAAGACGGCGTTCTCCAGAAACGCGCAACTATAAACTGCGATTTTTTCACCGAGACAACAGGCAGGAGGTTTTTACCACCAACAAAGAGGAAAGCAGGGAAAGGAGGAGCGACTCCAAAGATGCACACCAGACGCATAGGAGGGAAGAAGACTGAAAATGGTGCGACTAGCTCCAGATGCCCACCCATGACACCACAGAGTGTCGGGAGTTCAGGGCCAGTTTGAAATACTTGCCGCCCGGAGACCTGAAGAGCCGCCTAGATACGCGGCCGCATCGCCACGAACGGAGACACGGCAAAGAAAGGTCGCCGAACCCAAGAAGGACGTCCCACACGTCCAAGCGCAGAAGATCAAGGTCGCCGAGAAGAGAGTGATCCCCCTCGGCGCGACCGGTTACCGCCACCACCAAGAATATCTCCTCCACATCGGAAGCCTCGACTCAATGACGACGATGTGGAAGTCATAACCATAGCAGGCGGTCGCAAACGATCAAGAACTAAAGGAGACCGCCTAGTTCAATTTTTGAACGTTCACAAGAGTGAACAAGTAGAAATCAGCTTCGCGCCCTCCGAACTGGTGCCTGAAGAAAGTGGAGAAGATCTGTTGGTCATCTCCTTGAGAACAAGGAATTTCAAAATCACAAGGGCGTTAGTAGATAGTGGAATCTCAACAGACATCCTGTTCTACTCCACCCTCAAAAGCATGAAGATGAGCATGCAAGATCTCAAGCCGTCGGTGATGAACCTAGTAGGATTCTCGGGGTCGAAGATTCGAGTGCTAGGTTTAATAACCTTGCAAGTAACAATTGGAGAAGCAGATATAACAAAGACCCGCTCCATGGATTTCCACGTGGCAGATTGCCTATCGGCATACAATGCGATTCTAGGACGCGGTTTCCTATCGCTATTCTCCGCGATCCCGTCAACTTGCCATCAGATGCTTAAATTCCTAGCATGAGGAAGGGTGGGCCGCATCATAGGAAACACCAAACAAGCGAAGGAGTGTTATCAAGCGACGATTGAGAGCTTGGAGGTGGACCTAGTAGACACCCGAGGGGGGTACCCTCATCCAGAGGCGGTCGAAGAGGATGTAGGAGTAATACTCGATCACGAGGAGCCTGAAAAGAAGGCGAGGATCTCTTCCCACCTCACGGAGAAAAAAGCGTAAGAACTCTTGTCGCTTCTCAAAGACTACAAAGATTTGTTCGCATGGACCTTTCAGGACATGTCGGGCATCTCAAGGGAGCTCGCTGAACATCACTTGTCAGTGAAAAGCAAATCAAAGCCCATTCATCAGAGAAGGAGGAGCGCTTCCCTCGAAAAACAAATGGCATTGGAAGAGGAAGTAAGGCGGTTGCTCAAAGCTGGTTTCATAAGAGAGGTCAAGTATCCGACCTGGCTGTCAAACCTAGTCTGCGTTCGCAAGGCATCTGGACTATGGCGAATGTGCATAGATTTCACAAATCTAAATGCGGCCTACCCCAAGGACGCATACCCTCTGCCGAGAATAGATCAGCTCATAGATGCAACCACCAATCATGAAAGTCTAAGCTTTCAGACATGTTCTCGAGATATCATCAGATCAGTCTATCCAAAGAAGATCAAGCGAAGACTGCCTTCATGATCCACATGGGAAATTCCGTTACACGATTATATCGTTCGGTCTAAAAAATGCAGGAGCAACATATCAGAGAATGATAAATGCGGTCTTCAAAAGCCAGTTGGGGAGGAACGTGGAAGCATACGTGAATGATGTCCTGGTCAAGAGCAAGAAGGAGGAGGATCACCTAAAGGACCCGAAAGAAACATTCGAGAGCCTGAAAAGGGAACGCCTCTGGTTAAACCCGCTCAAGTGCGTGTTTGGTGCAAAGGCGGGAAAATTCTTGGTGTTCATGATCATCAACAGGGGAATAGAAGCAAACCCAAAGCTGATAGAAGCCATAACTAGCCTAAGACCATTGAAGACCGTCAAGGAAATCTAGGCGTTCAATGGCAAAATGGCCGGCTTGAGCCGTTTCATCCCAAGGGCAGCAGACAAATGCTCCCCCTTCTTCCAGATGCTGAAAAAATCAGCATCCCGTTCCCAATGGAGTGTGGAGTGTGACAAGGCTTTCTTCTAGCTGACTAAACAACTAACTTTGCCTCCAGTACTGAGCACCCCGCGACAAGGTGAGCCTCTGTACCTCTATTTGGTGTTCTCAGATCAAGCGGTCAGCTCAGTCCTGATACGAAGAGATGGGAGTGGCTCAAATCATCCTGTCTACTACGTAAGCAAGGCGCTCCTCCCAGCTGAGAAGCGTTACATCCCCATCGAAAGGACGGTCCTAGCAGTTGTTTCGGCCGCAAGAAAGCTGCGACCGTATTTTCAAGAGTACCAAGTGATCGTCCTCTCAAATCTCCCACTGAGGAAGATCCTGAAGGGAATGGATGTATCTGGAAGGATGACCAAGTGGGCGGTCTAACTTAGCGAGTACGACATTGCGTATGCCTGATAGCGATGTATTTGCACATGTTTGCACCCTTAGTTCGTATCCGTTTGCGGCGAGTAGTCGTGTATTTTTGGCCCGTTTTACGTCGGGTTGTGCTACTTTGTCATATTCCAGGTCCCAACGTCGAAGGAAAGGCTAAGCACGAGTTTCGGGGCATTTGGAAGTCATTCGGTCGAGCTGGGGCCAAAGCACGGGCTGGCCTAAACCAAAACACGGCCGTGTACACAAACAAACACACCAGTGTTTTTATTGTCGAGAGCTGAACTGATGGAAAAGCAAAACACGGGCTGGCCTAAAGCAACACACAGCC